AGTTTTCGGAGAGTAGGATTAGGAGAGGTAGGATGTTGGAGGTGAGATCGAGGCAACACCTGAATGAAGCGCGGAACATAGTACGTGCTCGACCACGGGTTGCGTGAGAGACTGACGCAGGGCATGGAAGGGCCCCCAGTCCACTCTGCGTGCGATCGCCGGGATCCACTCCGGTCTCCGACTCCGGCACGACGACCGCACGGCAGGATTTTACACCGGTTGGCGGGACAGCTTCCCGGGGCGGAGTTTAGTAGAGACACCCGGGTTCAGGTCCCCTACTGACCGGCGGGCGGCAGCGGGTACCGTTTCACTGGGTCTCCCTATACCCCCGTCAAACAATCACGCCCCGTGAGTTCGCACGCACGTCTGCTCCGCAAGTTCCAGGCGTCACCAAGACTCAACCCCAACAAGGAAGGGGAAAGGGAAGGGATAGAACTGGCTCTCCAACCCACACGCCGGAACACAGCTAGGCTATTTGGCGGCGGACTCTAGTTGGAGGGTGGTCGCCAGCCAGTCGGACTAGGTCCTACCACCGGTTAAACCTACTACCGGTTCTGCAAAGCACTGCTCTTGCTAGAGCTAGTGTTAGCAAATTCTCTTAGGTTGAGTTCATGAGCTCACCTGCCCATCCGCGCGTAGCTTGAATACCCTCTTAGGCTACCAGCGAAAAGGTAAAAAAAATATGTGTGGTGTCGTGGGACACCGGATAGGAACGAAGTTCCTTATTATAAAAATATTAATTTTAAGTTCTATTCGAGATATTATAAAGAAAATAAAACTGGAGGTTTCGCAACAACCCACAGTCATTCGGTAACGTGCGAACTTATTGTGGTACACTTCATTCACGGTTGTTTGCATAAGAGTTAGTGTATTGCGCAAACAACACTCTGAGATCGTGGTCAATGAATGATAAAAAAATGTTATTTTTTGTACATTATTACAAAGTTAAGTCGTACACTGTATGCATTACTAATTTATACGTTATTACAAAGTTAATTCGTACACTGTGTGCATTACTAATAAAAACCTTACGTTACGGACATTTTTCCCGGCTAGGGTACCCCTACGCATCGTCCCATAAAGAACTTCGTTCCAAAAAAATACAAGAAAAACTGCGCCGTGATGTCTTTGCGCTGATAACCCTAAGTTCACAAGCTCCCCCTGCAATTATTAACCGACCTACAATAATAAAACAATTTTAATATTCATTTATTTAACAGGACGGGCAAACTGCATTACCCAACAGACGTTTGCGGTCCACTTTTCGAGGAAGAGCTGGAGTTCTGGGGTCTGGATGCCAACCAGGTGGAGCCGTGTTGTTGGATGACTTACACACAGGTAGTTCTAGAGATAAATATTAGCAATACAGCATAGTCGTTGACCAAACCAGTAGCTGATGCTTGATCTTTTATTGCTTACATGGATGGATAAGCTCACAGCCCACCTGGTGTTAAGTGGTTACTGGAGCCCATAGTCATCTACAATGTTAATGCGCCACCCACCTTGAAATATAAGTTCTAAGGTTTCAGTGTAGTTACAACGGCTGCCCCATCCTTCAAACCGAAACGCATTACTGCTTCACGGCAGAAATAGGCAGGGCGGTGGTAGCTACCCGTGCGGACTCACAAGAGGTCCTACCACCAGTAACCAACGAAAGTACAGCAAAACAACGAAAAGCAATGTTGTTTGATTATTACAGCCAAATAACGAAAAGGAATCAAAATCTGTGATAATAGACAGAGAACACACTATAGTGATAACATTTTTTTTTTTTTTTTTATTGCCCTTGTAGGCAGACGAGCATACGGCCCACCTGATGGTGAGTGGTTACCGTCGCCCATGGACTTCAGCAATGCCAGGGGCAGAGCCAAGCCGCTGCCTACCGTTTAATACTCTCCACAAGCCTCGTTTGAAGAAGGACATGTCATAGCGCTCGGGAAACACCGTGGAGGGGAGCTCATTCCAGAGCCGGATGGTACGTGGCAAAAAAGACCTCTGGAAACGCACTGTGGATGACCGCAGTGGCTCCAGGTAGTATGGATGAACTCTACTCCGGTGGCGGGCGGTGCGATGGTAAAAACGAGATGCCGGTATCATCTCGAACAATTCCTCAGAGCACTCCCCATGGAACATACGGTACAAAATGCAGAGGGAACCGAAGTCCCTCCGCAGACCCAGAGGCTCCAAACGATCCGTGAGAATGGGATTATCGACAATCCGAACGGCCCTCCTCTGTATGGAGTCAAATGGAAGAAGCTGGTATTTGGGAGCCCCGGCCCAGAGATGGGAGCAGCACTCCACGCGAGGCCGGACTTGTGCTTTATAAAGCAAAAGCCTTTGTCCAGGCGTGAAGTACCGCTTCGCTCTGTTGAGGACTCCCAGCATTTTGGACGCCAACTTGGCTTTGCAGATGCAGATGACTCCGAAACTGGACATCGCTCGAAATGTCGACCCCAAGTATCCCAATACTCTCGGAAGGTTGCTCAAAGTCCATATACGAAATTATCCTTCTGATAAATATAACTTTAAACGCATATATCCTAAGAGCTTTGTCATTTATTTCTTTCAACTATTTATATGATTGTCATTAGCTCAAGCACTACTGGATATGGCAATCGAATATACTCCGCTTCAAATTGTTATGTCCAAAATGCACTAATTTATCGAAACTCTTCGAGACATCAATCGTCAGCTGATACGATTGATAGATATCCAAGTGATTGGATTTAGTTGACTTTAAAAGCATGAAGACACAGGCTTACATCCACCGCGAAGGAAGGCAGTTTGTCATGGTACTCTCAATTTTATGGATACCTGCACCCTATCAAGACTTTTGAATTTCTTAGAATCGATATTTCTATGTTCAGTATCGGAGACATTCGGAAGACAAATTGGCCGCTGTCATTGCTAAGCTCGAGTATCCAAAAACGAGTACTTCCACTTCCCTCCGAGACTAAATTCATTTCAACCATCTGAAATCCTCAATATTAAATAATAGCCTCTTAAAAGTCGTCGTTGCCTAAGGGATAAGACGTCCGGTGCATTCGTGTTGAGCGATGCACCGATGTTCGAATCTCGGGCGGGTACCAATTTTTCTAATGAAATACGTACTCAACAAATGTTTACGATTGACTCCCACGGTAAAGGAATAACATCGTGTAATAAGAATGAAACCCGCAAAATTATGATTTGCGTAATTACTGGTGGTAGAACCTCTTGTGAGTCCGCGCGGGTAGGTACCACCGCCCTGCCTATTTCTGCCGTGAAGCAGTTATGCGTTTCGAATTGAAGGGTGGGGCAGCCGTTATAACTATACTTGAGACCTTAGAACTTATATCTCAAGGTGGGTGGCACGTTTACGTCGTAGATACGTCGAGAAAAATAAATAAATAATAATAGCCATATTTATAAATTAATATAGAGGGGATTAAGGATATTATCGCAGAGAATAATTAACAGTCGCACGAGTACTCTGTGGATAATTTGTAATCCGCATAATATGATACTCAAATTTCCTTTGATCTACTAAATAATTCGGTTACCTCATTTCCCAAGTGAAATAGTATTGGAATTCTGAAACACGCGCTTCACGGAGATACGCCAGAGATCGTACGAAATAAAATTAATACACTCATAAAAGCGGCGGGTTAAGTTTGTCTGAAGAGTTAATTGGTTTTCTTCAGATAACTCTTTGTCCGAAAAACTCAAGAGACTTGGTAAATGGTCTAATATTGTCATTTGTTTCTGGTTCTGACTCAGGAGAATGTTTGATGTTATGCGCTTCTTTTTCCGTACCTATGCTGATAGCCTTCATAGGCTATATCAGCGTTACCCTAGTATGTAGGTGAGCTCTTGGGGCTCTCAAACCAGAGGTGTTGCTAAAACTGGCCCTAGCAAGAGGTGTGCTTCGTAGAATCTACCACCGGATCGGAAACGCGACCCACTGAGAAAATCCGGCGAGAAACTCACTGGGCTGTGTCTGTGGGTTACTCGCTGAGCCCTTCGTCGCAAGCGACGGGTCGACGAGAAAGGTGACCGGTGCTTGTGGTACCTAAAAGCACCGCTAATGGATCGGGAGGATCCGTAATGACGTGTTTAAGGCGACGTTGACCGTTTACTATTCGATGGCGCTGACAATCTCACTCTGTGGTAGAGTGGCGTAGAGATGCGCTTAGCACTAAAAGCACGCGTTGTGCATCTCGTTTAGATTTTGTCTCATCTGAAGACACTGGTTATTGAGCGAAAAGCAGTTTTTAGTCTACTCAATTCCAAAATACCTCGTTTAAGGAGCCCCCAGGGGACGAACAATTAATTTAAAAAAAATTACTGACCACAGAATGCACTACCACGAATTTTAAATATTGCATCAATAGTTAGAAATCACCGGGGCTCCGTACTCATATACTCTGAAGAGTAATCTAACAGAATATTGTTCATATAGATTTTACAAAAGAAATATTTGAAAACACGATGAAAAAACCACACAATCCTGCTATGGCAGTAAAAAAAAAACAAGTAAATTTAATAACGCTCGGAATATTGCGAAGATACACCGGTGGCTGCACCAATTTAATATCAAACAAAAACTGGCACGTTGTTCGTAAAACCTCAGACGTAGCAAAATCCTCCACGAACGAGAAAAGGTATAAAGCACTGGAACTCTATAGTAACTTTTAACAGCTTTTGACTTTCCGATAAACTATTTGATGACTGAAAATTTACTGCATCAATGAATATGTTTGAGCATTAAATAAACGAAAAGCTATATTATAAAAGATATCGTGCATGACGATTGTAATTTGTGGATCTCGTAGTCGAAATATTTATTAAACAGTCAGTCAGTGATAATGATATTTCTGAAATTTTAACTATAATAGGCCAAGTCAAAATGGTTCTGTGGATTTTTTTCTCTCATTGCCAAACGATTATTGTTAATAGGTATGTACAATTATAAGTAAGCTCAAACGCGATCTTGTATATCTACTTCATAACGCAGAATACTTATAGATAATACACATAAATTAGTTATAGTTAAGCAACTCAAGCACTCAAAAAATGTTTATGGGCGTTGGTCACTAGATGGCTTCGCTTCGGTTAGTTTCTCATTGCTCCTGTAGATGGCAGCAACATATCCAACCCATCCTCTATTTTATTTTCAATGAAGGATTTGGTAAATTTTCTGAAACCACAAATTTGTCTATCTATCTATATGTATAAAAATGAATTGCTGTTCGTTAGTCTCGCTAAAACTCGAGAGCGGCTGGACCGATTTGGCTAATTTTGGTCTTTAATTATTTGTGGAAGTCCAGAGAAGGTTTAAAAGGTATTTATATATGAAAATGCCCGGAATTAAATAAAAATAACAATTTTGTTTGTCCTTTGACGTGTCCCCCATCGGACGGATTCTTTTTGTCTTTTATTTATCGATTGAGGCACTACGAAGTCTGCCGGGTCAGCTAGTAACAAATAAAGACTGTATGATTTATTATTTTTTATTTTCTATGTTTAGTTATACAATAATTAAACACCTTAACTTAACAACATATAAGCTTAGGGACATCCGCTACAAGATGTCGCTAGTTTCTATACAAACAAAATATTTGTCTTAAAGTATCGCAATTTCAGGGGCCTGATACTCATTACAACAAAATTCCTTAATTTTCTTTTTTATTTATTTAAGCCCACGTTCCGGCAAAATGTTATTGTGAAATGCATATGCTTGAAGTCCTTTTATCGATGTAAGTCAACTTAAGCCGTTCCGCTGCATTGTCCTAAAGCTTAAATGCGCTTTAGCGGTTCTCGAAAGGGGAAATGAAATTGAATTTTCTTTGTTTCCCGTTTAGCATTGAAAGGGGAACTAGAGTGGAGATTATTTCCGCTGGAAAAAATTGCGGGATGAAAGTTGAACTCAGTCTGTCGGCGTTTCGGTCTTTGTGTTGATGCGAAGGTTTTGTCTCATACTTACATTTGTTTTGTGGTGACGTTCCAAGTTTCTATGTATATGACGATATGAGCAGTGACGTCAGAGACTGATGGCGCCACATTTTTATTACGAACGATCATTCTTTTTTTTTATTGCTTAGATGGATGGACGAGCTCACAGCCCACCTGGTGTTAAGTGGTTACTGGAGCCCATAGACATTTACAACGTAAATGCACCACCCACCTTGAGATATAAGTACTAAGGTCTCAGTACAGTTACAACGGCTGCCCCACCCTGCAAACCGAAACGTATTACTTCTTCACGGTAGAAATAGGCAGGGTGGTGGTACCTACCCGCGTGGACTCACAAGAGGTCCTGCCACCATTCTGTTAGTTGTTGTCATTATCTTCCATCGTGACAGTAAATAAGACTCACGTTTCCAATGAATTCCATTTATTAAATTTCAAGCGTACAACAATAACAACGGAGAGCTCTGCCTCGTTCGGCTGCTCGAGACGAAATGTATTGTGCGACAATAGTCACTCGTATTTATGATTGAAAGTGTCGGTAGCTTACTCATGAATTATTATGAATACCGTCTTAAACAATTGTTTACACACATTAGACTTACGTTATACAACAATGACAATCTATATATGAATACGTGAAGCAAAAACTTTGTACCCCTTTTTACGAAGATTGCGCGGACGGAGGAGTATGAAATTTCTCACACTTTATATAGAGAATATAGAGAAGGAGTGCACAATGCTAATATTTTTTTAAAATAATGCTTAAAAGATACTTTAAATCAATAAAGAAAACATTACACACACTACCATGTATTTGACACAACACATATATAAAAATATACTCTTTGTTTACTGTCAATTGGGAAACTTTTTTTATCAGTCTGTGGTCGAATTGAAAATAGATTAATATTGTTTGTCTTTAATGTTATTGATCTATAGTGCAGTTTTGGCGAATACTGTGATTATGTTATCGAATTATAATAGTGTTTGACAATTGAAAATGATGTGTTGAACCATAATAATGTTTAAACTTATAATTTCATTTAATTATAGTCGAATTTAGACTACTACGGGGCCACTAGTATTAAGGAAACAGTTAACTTTAACTAATCTTAGTTAACTAAGTAGTAATGTTGCGCCGATATATACAATTCAACTATAGCAATAACACAAGGCCCTAGAAGACACTCCTTGTCCTCATAGCAATACTGGTTTGTCGAAGTTCTTGGGATGTAATTTAATATTATTTAAATTTTCATTTAACACTAGCTGACCCGGCAGACTTCGTAGTGCCTCAATCGATAAATAAAAGACCTAAACTTTTGTATGAAATAAACTTAAAACGAACAAAAGGAATCCGTCCGGAAAGAGAAAACAAAATTTTTATTTTTATTTAATTCTGAGCATTTTCATATTTATCTACCTTTTAAACCTTCTCTGGACTTCGACAAATAATTCAAGACCAAAATTAGTCAAATCGGTCCAGCCGTTCTCGAGTTTTAGCGAGACTAACGAACAGCAATTCATTTTTATTTAAATACATAGATTGCCTTATCGTTTACCGGTAGTAGGGTGTCTTGTGAGCTCGCCCGGCTTGGTAACACTACCCTGCCTATTTGTGCCGCAAAGCAACAAATCGTTCTAGTTTGCAGAGCGGAACAGCTATTATACCACACAAATGAGACCTTATGTTTAAAGGTGAGTGGAATTATAACAGTGATGGCTATGGTTTCTGGTAACCACTTAATACTAAGTGGACCGTGACTTCGATTACTGACCTAGACAATAAAAAAGAGTTCAATGCTTTGTTTTTTAATGAAACAATAATTTTTGCGGTCACAACCAATCGACTACACGAAATGTATCGCTTTAATAATTGAGGTTTTAATTCATATGGAAAACCAAAGAAATTTGCGGTTCGTTTTATCCGTTTATTTTACTGTTCGAAATTTTCGAAATTATTTTACTGGTGGTAGGACCTCTAGTGAGTCCGCGCGGGTAGGTACCACCACCCTGCCTATTCCTGCCAAGAGTGAAGCAGTAATGCGTTTCGGTTCGAAGGGTGAGGCAGCCGTTGTAACTATACTTGAGACCTTAGAACTTATATCTCAAGGTTGGTGGCGCATTTACTTAACTTAACACCAGGTGGGCTGTGAGCTCGTCCACCCGTCTAAGCAATAAAAAAATACCGTTACCATCCTATTCCCAAAGTAAGCTAAAGTTAATAATAATAAAGGTCAGTTATGAGCAGGAACTGTAAGCATCAAAATATATATTAGAGCGCAGACATGAACAAGCTTATGCAGACCCTAATGTCACATCGACTCACATCGACTGGGAATATAACATGTGTCCCAGTAGTTAGTCATATCACCCTTTGGCTTACCTTAGCACATGGCATTATCCAAGGATTAACAAAGCACACATACATAACTTTTTAAGAATAGCTATTTTTGAAGAACTATTTATGTACAACAAAGAATTAATCTCTTTTCTTGAGATATAAGTTCTAAGGTCTCAATTATAGTTACAACGGCTGCCCCACCCTTCAAACCGAAACGCATTACTGCTTCACGGCAGAAATAGGCAGGGTGGTGGTACCTACCCGTGCGGACTCACAAGAGGTCCTACCACCAGTAATTACGCAAATTATAATTTTGCGGGTTTCATTTTTATTACACGATGTTATTCCTTCACCGTGGAAATCAATCGTGAACATTTGTTGAGTACGTATTTCATTAGAAAAATTGGTACCCGCCTGCGGAATTCGAACACCGGTGCATCGCTCAACACGAATGCACCGGACGTCTTATCCGTTAGGCCACGACGACTTCAAAATCTTAATCTTACAAGCTTCGAGCGATCTTGTCAAAGAACAGACTTATGGAGGACTTATTCTCCTACGAGCAAATTAACCTAATAGCGTAATAAAAACAATCCTAATGGATTACAAAAGATGTCATAAATACATTCAGATGTGAAATATTCTAACTCTAACTCCAATGGTCAAACTCATTAACCACTTAACAATTGTGTTCTGATATAAAAGAAATCGTTTGGAGTGGATGTTCTGTTCTATATACTATATCTATATTCTATATAGAAAGCACATCTGAATGTTGACCTTTTTAAGTGCAGTTATATAGCTCTGTCCATTAGACATTTTTGAATTCCTACAAGATTTGAATTGAAGACAGATTTGAATTCCTACAAGATACTTAATTCAGATTTTTCGTTTCCTATACACACTTTTTCTCTTCTTCTTTCTTTCTTTCCTTCTTCTTCAGGTCTTTTGCCTTTTACATCCAGTCCCTACACACTGACCCTCTGCATATTATTATGTAGGGGAATAAGAATAGTCAACACGCTTCTTATCTCAATCTCTGAATTTCACTGATCCTGGGCTACTTTACAGCACCGTGACACTCAAGAAACCCTGGCCGTCCTGGACCGCCTCGACTTGGACACGGAGAAGCCCACTGACGAGGAGGTCGCCCGTAAGTTCGGGTTCGAGGAAGATTACCTAAAAGGAACCGTTAGCTGGTGGCAACATCTCAAGCCCCAAATGTGGTCATTATTCGATGAGCCGTACAGTTCAAATGCTGCTAAGGTATGAGACTATTTACAATTTTTTTGGCCAAAAGACTTGCCAACTTTTATCACTTCAGCGGATTCTTCAAGCATTTTTAGGGTGACTTTATAAATTGATCGCAAGTGGTGACTGTCGTTATTGGAATCAGATTGCTGTGTACCGCTGACAGCTCGATTGAAGTAGGAGAAGTAGAGAAGTAGAAGACAGTCATAACATTCATACCGAAAGAAGATTTTACTCCAAAGCTAGAGAAGGGCTATGAATCGGTAACTTCAGTCTTATGTGTCGATGTGGGCATTCGGTAACTAGATTACTACTACCTTACCATCAGTAATTTTAATGGTAACTCAGGAAGTTGTGACTACTACGGATGTATAATCGAGAAATAATAGTAGTTTAGATTTATATTCAAATAGAGTATTAATAATTAACATACAAGATCTGAACCGATGCTCACTGTGAGGAAATATTGTGAGGCCATACTGGTTAATATTGCCTTCTTGGCTTTTCCTGTCCCGAAGCAACGTAAACAGCCGTCATGCAATAAAATTGGGACTTTGACTCCACGTCTTAAGGTCGATAGTGATGATCACGTTCCATCATCATAAAATACTAAGAAGAAATTGAATATCTCTTTAAACTCGATACCCTCCAAGTTAATGTTTAAATAAAACGTATACTGAATCGTTTTGTGAAAGGAATTCACAGTTTAGTACAGAAAAGTCCTTACAGTTTATTAGCAGTTAAATTGTCAACTAAAACAGTTATCGTAGATAATTTTAATTCAATTTCATCGCATTTTTATTTAGCTCCGGCCACATTTTAATCATCATTAACCGTGACGAGGAAATTGTCTCTGTTTGCTTCGAAACCAACCCTCATTTAGATTTCATATATCAAAGTGAGGTTTATAGATTTTCATACTTACTAGAGCAAACTGAACATTGAAGTTTACTCATCAAAACTTTGTACACATTTAAAACTATAGTTTGAATGGTTACTAGTATATCATGTGACCTCTTGTGAGTCCGCACGGGTTGGTACTCCGCCTATTTCTGCCGTGAAGTAGTAATGCGTTTCGGTTTGAAGGGTGGGGTAGCCGTTGTAACTATACTAAGACCTTAGAACTTATATCTCAAGGTGGGTAGCGCATTTACGTTGTAGATGTCTATGGGATCCAGTAACCACACCAGGTGGACTGTGAGCTCGTCCACCCATCTAAGCAATAAAAATAAAAATAAAATATGTATATTATATATTTATTATAGTATCGTTTTACACCGCGCCAACTCAATAACTTGCTTTTCTTAAGAAAACTTTGCTAACGGGATTAAGTATAATAAAATTTGAATACGCGTTCTTTTTTGTTTTCTGTACCTGAAAAAACAACCATCGTGAAACTGTTGCAAGTCCAAATCTATGTAGATGTTACGACTTAAAAAGATACGCTGCTTGCTAGTATTTACCTTCAGCGGATGAAAAGAAAAAAAGGTTTTTTTTTACCTATAAACAAATACCAGTCCTCGTTAACCTTCCCAAGTAAATGATAATTTCCATAATTTCTTTTCGTTAGAGTCACTGAAAATACTTTAGCTTTGTTAAAATTTAAATGTTAGCAAACATTCTGCGCTCTGCAGATAGAATGAAATTATTACCTTTTCTTATTAACGTTTTCAGCTTGTTATTTTGCTTGTTTTTCTTCAACGAAAGGGTGAACGTGTTGATGCGAAATGTTTTTCATTTTTGTTTATATTTTTTTACCTCAGAGCGTGAGACCTACGAACGAATTATCGTAAAATCCCTTGTGCGTTTCAAGCTTAAGGAAACTGGTAACAGGTATAAGGTTAAATTTTGCTGCAACAGTTTTGTGAATAGACGTAAGGACTGTCTAAAAAAATAAATTATTTAATTTAAGGAACTATCTTTATATGCTATATAATATCGGTTCTAATATCTAGAAATTTCTATCTTATGATATCACTGATACATTTCAATTATTACTCAAGCTGAACTGAAATTCTATGGTAATCTGGCTCTATATTTAATATATTTGTATATGTAAATTATTCCACTATTCTCTGGTGTTATAACCAGTAGCTTATACACATTTATGTGGTAATTACCAATCATTAAAGATAACATGTAATTAACCCTGCTTCTTTTTCCAGATAATCGGTGTTATATCAGTGTTTTTCATTTGTGTATCGATAATATCGTTCTGCCTAAAAACGCATCCAGACATGAGAGTGCCAGTGATCAGAAACTATTCAGTCACGACTGCGAATCAAACGCAGAGCTGGGCGCTGGACAAAGTGCAGACAAACGCCCACATCGCGTTCTTTTACATCGAGTGTGTGTGTAACGCGTGGTTCACATTGGAGATCCTAGTCCGTTTCATATCCTCTCCAAATAAATGTGAATTCGTCAAATCCTCGGTCAACATCATCGACTACATAGCCACAATGAGCTTTTACATCGACCTCATTCTCCAAAAGTACGCCTCTCACGTCGAGAACGCTGATATCCTCGAGTTCTTCTCGATTATTAGGATTATGAGGCTCTTTAAGCTGACTAGACATTCGTCTGGCCTCAAAATCCTCATCCAGACTTTTAGAGCTTCTGCCAAGGAGTTGACACTGCTAGTCTTTTTCTTGGTACTGGGTATTGTGATTTTCGCAAGTCTGGTGTACTACGCGGAGAGGATACAGACGAATCCTCACAATGACTTCAATAGTATACCGCTGGGACTATGGTGGGCCCTAGTGACTATGACTACCGTTGGATATGGTGACATGGCGCCGAAAACCTACGTTGGAATGTTCGTTGGAGCGCTCTGCGCCTTAGCTGGGGTAAGTTTAATTGCAGCTTTCCTTTAATACCAGACGTAAGATATGTTTATACCTGATGTGTAATGATTACCACTGTATGTAAACCACAAGAGATCACAGGGTCGAATGGTTGGGAAATTGTTGGTACTGCCTCAAACGTCCAACCATAAACCTAAGGTAAAACACTAAAACCGTTTCAATGTCTTCAGCTCTTAAGCTTATAAGTGGTTTTAGTACAGGCAGGAGATCTTAAGGCCTATAATATGTTGTGTGACGTCAAAAACTCATTGACACATGGAAAATATGATCTAGTTTGACACAAAAACATGAGATTCAACATTTAAAGCTATAAGTCCAGAGCTGCCAACCGTTAAGAAATTTCCAGTTTGTTTCAATGTGACAAACCTTTTGTGTAACAGGTACTGACGATAGCGCTCCCAGTTCCAGTTATAGTATCGAACTTCGCCATGTACTATTCGCACACGCAAGCGAGGGCCAAGCTGCCGAAGAAGCGGCGAAGAGTCATCAACGTGGAACCAACCAGGCCACCTCTCCGTGAGTTTAAATACCATAATTAGTATATCACAGGTTAAATTTTTCATTCGACATTTTTTTTATTGCTCAGATGGGTGGACGAGCTCACAGCCCACCTGGTGTTAAGTGGTTACTGGCCCATAGACATTTACGACGTAAATGCGCCACCCACCTTGAGATATCAGTTCTAGGGTCTCTAGTTACAACGGCTACCCGGCCCTTCAAACCGAAACGCATTACTGCTTCACAGCTAAAATAGGTACGGTGATGGTACCTACCCGCGCGGACTCACAAGAGGTCCTACCACCACTAATTACGCAAATTATAATTTTGCGGGTTTGATTTTTATTACACGATATTATTCCTTCACCATGGAAGTCAATCGTGAACATTTGTTGTGTACCTTGAGTTTGAGTATCTTGGTTTTTTTTTCTTGTCAAGTGTGTTTGTCATTAATTTCAGTGCTAGTATTTTCAGTTCACTATTATAACACAGAAGAAAATTCTAATTCGAAGTTGTTGAAGTAAAAAACTTACTACTACTAAGCAATATACTGCCTGGATTACAGACATGTTTTTAAAAAATTCCGTCGCTTCGACTAATCCGTCGCTTCGACTAAATTCATTCAATTGTTTGGTCGATCACCACAGATTTCTCCAGTGAAGAGTAATAAATTTGTCATCAGTAGTGTTACGTGCGGCAGTACCCAATTGTTCCCAAATCTAAATTGTCTATCTAATTGCAATCTCTTCATCATTCGTCTAAATGCATATCGTAATTTATTAAGCAACTAGCAATCCGCCCTCGCTTAGCTTCGGAAACTGTAATTTATTATAGATTTCTCCACTATTTTATGGATGTTATTATACATATAAAACTTCCTCTTTAATCACTCTATCTATTAAAAAAAACCGCATCAAAATCCGTTGCGTGGTTTTAAAGATTTAAGCATACATAGGGACAGACAGATATAGAGACAGAGAAAGCGACTTTGTTTTATACTATGTAGTTAAGCAATAGACATATGTATTTACTATAATCATTACATAGCATTTATCTTGTAGTAAATCAACGATTTCATTTAAATCATAATGAATAAGCTTTATGTGTACTAACATGTTAACAGTAAATAGTTTAAGGTTTTGAAATCTCCATTTCTGTTTTATTTAATTAATACTTTGTAGGCAGCGGCTTGGCTCTGCCCTTGGCATTGCTGAAGTCCATGGGCGACGGTAACCACTCACCATCAGGTGGGCCGTATGCTCGTCTGCCTACAAAGGCAATAAAAAAAAACATTTTTATAAATCATTAATAGCATTAAAAATGTCCGTAATTTCAACTTTACATTTTAAATTGTAGTGACTAATAAAAAGTATAGTCACTAGTAGTTTAAATATAGTCTGAGGTCGAGACTCCAAATTAAAGTGGAGATGTTAATGGATATTACGTTCCCTCTGCATTTGACCCTGTTTTAAAATATTTAATACAAAGTGTTTGTTTCGAGTTTTCCTCAAAATTCAAGAGATATTTAATAATAAAAACTCTAGAAGCAATGATCTAACAGTATGTAGATAAAAAAGTAGCTTATTGAAACTAAGACTATCTTTAGGTGCCCCAGGAGTGACCGCCCCAGCTGGACCAATGGCTCCTGGCTTGGGACCTCAAGTCGTCAATCGACGTATGAACGCAATTAAGACCAACCATCCTAAAGATATGATGGGACCTAACATGGGTAATGATGAGTTTGAACCAAAACCCTTATGAGAAACAGACTATGGATATTTAAATAGTATTACAAGAATACAAGACGGTTTATTTTTAACAGCGTTCGGGTATCGGTTTCCGAAAATAGTTTGGGTAGTTGATAGGCTACAGCAAAAGTTACCTAATATTTCATTTAACAATATGCATGGTCTGATTAACAACAAAATTGTGATAATTAATCTAAGCAATGATTGTACCATATAACTAATAACAAAACCTTTTGGAGACTAATTTACTATCCAAGGCGGTCGTAAATAACATTTAAATCGTCTAGATACCCTTAAAAAATACCAATGAAGTACCAACGGGTATTTGAAAATGGGCGAAATAAAGGTTATTTGCTACGCTACCAAACTTGAAGTTTTTAACAAATTCATTTAAATAAAAATGAAGTATACAAAATGAAGTATTGAATGTATTAAATATTTTTTACATTGTTGGTGTAGTGAGCGAATTTTATAATATAGTCACTCATCTGCTTGCGGCCTAGCTAAACGTGATTAGTCTCCAAAAAACCAACCACTTGTAGTAATAAGCACTCTGAGTGTATGATAACACGTTTTAGAATATCTTGTCAAAATTTTAAAGGAATGAACATAAATTGGCTGAAATCACGATAGAGATTGACAAATCACTACACAAATGGTTATCACTAAAATGTTAAACATCTAATCGACTTAACAAGGTACGACGCATTAGGTGTGATTATGGATGTACATTTGAAAAAGATATTTTCTGTAGCAGTATTTAATCTTTATAAAACTATACAATAGTAAAAGTATATTCTTTTTTCAATACTTAATATAATGTGAAACTGTTTTGCTTTGTATTGCTTTAGTTACATTTACTAGTGATAAAATTTCTGTCAAGCCGGTAGATATGAAAGACGAGTCCATTTAAATCCTCACAAAAGATACTTGTGCGAACTGCCTATAATCCGGATCCTACTGAGCGGATCCCCCTAAAATTGGAACTTTCGGGTCTACGAAGAGACCTCCATTTTCTCCGTCTTTATTTTTGCTGAAAAAATCCATGGGTTGTCCGGTCCATCTGAGAAATTATTTAAAAATATCAGCACCTTTAAATTTATTTACAATTTCACGGATGTACTTGAAGACGATTATTGCATTAGAAAAGAATTAAAGGGCCTCCCACTGTAGTCCTGATTTGATCGATCCACTACATTGGAGACCTCCCTGTGAGGGACCATCCACTCTTCCCAGCAAGACACAAAGCAAAACTAAAACAGTCAGCTGAAAAACAGTGCTCCGAAGTAATGAAAATCAAGAATAACTCAAGTAAAAACAGAAAATATCTTGATCCAATTAACAAATGTTAAACATGAACTCACAATACTAACTGTAGCTTATGCAATGTAATCCTCCACAGATGGTGATCGTAGCGAGCTTGAAGCTATGATCCAAACAACACCAAACAACTGCAAAAGAAAAAATTTAAACATGCTTTAGAAAGCAACACAAAGACGCCGTTGGGGTGAACGAACGGGCTTTGTATTTCGCCTGCACATACGGATTTGCTTACAGGAATGCTACCTTAGTCATCACTAACTAATCATCATCATTTGCACGTCTTCAAGCACACGGAGCCATCAAATAGGGTCCCCCATTCATCGCGGATGGAACAAAGGTCCGGTTACACGTATATACCTATTTGAATCAGCCTAGCTTCGTCGTAGAATAGTGGTGAACGCCTCGAATTGTTTTATTATTTGCATTTGTTTCCGTGTCACTGTCGATGAGTTTTTAGTGAATTTCTTCTGATTTCTTTGCAGGCAATTACATCACATCGATCAATTTTCAAAACAGTAAACCTACAAATGAAGTATCAATAAAACAGACAACTACAGCGGTACACTTTTGCTATACACAAAACTAACATTGACTTTAATCATGTTAATATATCAGTTCTCATTTTTTGCATTTTTAATGTGAGGTGTAAAGAATGTGTACGTCAGCACTTGGATGTTGTGTCATTTGTCTTACTGTGGACTGTTGTTTTGTATTGCTCAGTATTTTTATTTCCTTTTAAACAATCAGTACGTTCATTGAATTCAAATTGAAAACTAAAACATTCTGTTTTTGTGATCTGATACTAAATCCAGATTTTTTTTTAAATCTATTAACACACTATTTGCATGTCGACGTCAAGTTATATATTTCATTAATAAAAACAATTAAAATCGTGTTTATCACCAACAGTTGCAACTCTAATGCCCGGAATGGATCTCTCAGTTACCACACGATTAACGCCGAGCCCCCGGGATATGTCACCGGCACTGGCCATAGCTCTTCCCATGATGAAATCAGTTAACATCGTCCCAGTCCAGTGCTTCGACAACATGGCCTTCCATAACGACAAAGTCGAGGAGGTCAACAACGAAAATGACAGCAAGTCGTCGAGCAGAGAGGACTCAGTCGATAGCGACAACACCATTCGCGTGAACATCTACAAAAACGAAAACTATTTGGAAAAGATGGAGGATAAATCAGACGCCAGGACTCCGTTGTTACGTGAACACAAGAACGAGTCTCTAGACGAGACTAAATTAAGAACAGAAACGAAAATTGAAAAGAGAAAATCATCCGCATCAACATAACATTACATTAATGGTAAGATGTGACCAATAATAACTAAGGAAATGAAAAACTATAGTAAATTCTTCCTTTATTCGAAGGGACTATGTTGCTGAAATGTCTATGAGTTGTGCTATACTAATGTATGCAAATAGTATCAGAGACGAATGATCATGAAGTGAAAAGTATTTAATAAAAAGATGATCTCGAATCTCCGATACTATTAATACCTAGATTTTGTCATATAAGTGCATTGAAGGCCGTGATAGAATTAATAATAATATATGTAGCTAAGTGTTTAAAGCACTTTACGATAAACGTTTTTATAAAACACATCATAAATTAATCATAATATGCCTATCACAATTAGATTTTAAGTTTTGGATTGTTATTGGAACATGCTCTTTTAAGGAATCACACACATGCATTTAGAAACAGGAAATCTGCATTTTGATATCGTGTAGATACAAAAGCAAGAAGATCTTTTCCCTGACATGACAACTTTCCCTAAATTAACGAGACGTTAACGATTTATAAATTTTATGCTATCTTCTAACTACAGTCGGAATGTGAACAAAAATAGTTTTAAGACAGACTTATACTAAAAGGCAAGAAAAAAAAAAGAATAAACTAATGGGTTGTACACTATTGGATGCATACTAAAACTTTTAAGATTTGAAAATAAGGAATTAAATACCATAATAACGCTATTATTTAATGTGCTATTTACTATATACCTAGATTTTTTTTGTGATAATGTAGCTTCGCAAGGACCTTAAACCTTCTATCCAACTGCTAATCAGAATATGCTATGCGATCCTTAAGCTAACTCACAACATATCATCAGAGGGATAGATACAAGAAAAATTAATATTAGCTTAAAAAAGCCTTCTTCATTAATCCAAAAAATACTTTTTATATCTTTGATTTATTTTGACAAAGATTTAGCACGTGTCCTAATCTAGATTTAAAATCGTGAGCTACATCCCGTTTATTATTCTTAAAAAATGTTTACATCTCACACCCTATTTATTACCCAATAAATTAAAGTTAATATTAACATAATTGTAAATTAATAATAAAGATTATATTCAAATTAACAACTGTATGTATGAATTTGATCTCAGCATACGAGAAAAGCCCAAAATACCAGATAACAAAAGCCAGAGCATGTTCCAGTACTAATCCAGCTTGATATACATAATTATCATTATTGACCAGTATATTCGTGTTAGTAGTTAAAGATTAACAGTCCACTAGTGAGAGATGTGACTATTGTTTGATTTGTGTGCGTTTGGTCTTTAACGAGTTTTTAATATCAACGAGTCCATTTTTTTTAAGAGATTTTATGACCTGGTAACTGAGACCTTTAAGTCATGTCTTATTTTAATTTATATTATTCATAAATTTATGAAAAATGATATTATGGAGTGAAATGAAATGAAGATGATTAATTTGAGACACTAATCAACTGGGATGAAATTAAATGAAATGAATTGAGATGATATGGGATGAAATATAATCTCAGTAAAATGGTGGTCATTTACTAAGATTTTTTCAGTTGACTTTTTGGAGGATCCCAAGAAGTTACGTCCAGCGACTTTGTTTCATTTTCCCACTTTTGTGCACTTTCACAGATATTAAACAGTTAATAAACCACCATTATTACAATTTTAAACCCGAAGAAACACTAAATAGACAAAATAAAACAAATCACACAACTTCACTCCTCACGTTCCCGCCAAAAAGTCCCTCAACGAGTCCATCAGTGGAGTATTTAAACTACCGATGTTTGAATTTAATTGAATTCATTTTCAACCATTGAAGGCAGTCATCATTATACGTAGACATTAAGAAAGCCCGGTCAGTCCTGTATCTATCGCCGAGAATTTTACAAATACAGTTAGACAAGAAGAACCCAAGGTACGTGACAAAAATTGTCTTTGTAAACGCTAAAATCCCATCCGATCGCAGGCTGAACAACATTGAAAAACGAAATTCATTAAAAAAAATACATCTCAGCTAAAAATTACTGAGCGCACACATCAAATAAATACTATCATATTATAAGCCTGTATATACTTGTGTACAATTAGAATAAAACGATTTTATATATCTACAGTTATATCTTATTAACTAATAAACAAAATATATTATTAATTAAACAATATATTTAAAATAAATGAAAAAAAAAAAACTTTCAAACGAATCACCGTACAACATATCAACAGCACTTTCTATAAATCTTGATGTTATTTAATTGTAAATGTAAATAATAATTGCATAATATATTTATCAAGAAAAGTAAATCAGTAATTAATAGATAGCTAAACAATGAATTGTTTTTTTTTTTCTTACGTAAACCGATACAATATTTAGTTTGAGACTTAAATATCGAATGGAGTTATCGAATTTTCAAAGTTCTTTTTCGGAGTGAATATTTTTAATGGGACGAAATATTTAGCTTAATAAAATATTGTTCAGTCATATGGTAATGTTAGGACAGGGCCTCTTTGAGCAGAAAAGTTCGTAGAGAGGTTCAGATACATGAGTTCAGACGCTACAACCTTTAAACATAAGGTCGAACATTGAAAAGTATTGCAATAGTTCGGCGAAAACTTCTTTCATATTTTCAAAGTAAAAATTTGCAGTAAAATAACTTTCATTGTTCTGTGTCTGACTAGTTTGGATATTATTAAATAGACATTTTAAAAACAGAAAAATAAAAAGATTATTCCATCTAGCCCGCCATTTTTCTATTATTTTTCTGAAGCCAAAACGAGTGAAAGAGAGATAACATAACAGCTTTCCCATTCGCGCATAATTTCGTCACGGCAGAAATAGATAGTCATCAAAATCAGTCACATTTTCTAAACAATACCGTCGGGTCCTAAAGAAAGATGCATTCGGTAGCAAACAAGACGTGGTTTGTCAACAACAATATGATTCCATAGTGAAGAAAAGAATTGAATATGAATTGATCGAGATTAAATTATATGAATATTTTGGATCAAATCGATAAGGTTTAGTTCAAGCTTATTTCAAAATTAGATTGGAAAATACGGCTCACCTGGTGTTAAGCGGTTACCGGAGCCCAGTATGGCGGCTGTTCCAACCCTTCCAACCGGTGAGAAGATCACGTCAGAAATAGGTATTGGTATCTACCCGTGCAAGCTCAATATACGCCCTACGCGAGTCACTATCCCCTAATATGAGTGCTAGTAAAAAAATCGACTTACTCAAACTTATAATAACAAAACCGACAATATTCAATTTAACACGTTGACTGCCGTGTAGGTCAGCGGCGCCCTACGTGGGGCACTAAAGTAATTATGTCGATTTCTGTCTTCGATCTTCTTACTAAGGCGTCGGAATATCTAGTAGACTCTAGGAAAGATGAATTCGAAGATACTAAGATACATAAATTAAAAACGAAAAAGACAAAGTTAGGCAATTCCGGTGCTCACTAACAGAAATCGACATAATTTCTTCAGTGTACCACGTAGGGCACCAGTTACCTACATGGCAGTCAAAGGGTTAAACACGTGTTTTTTATTTAAAAAATCCACTGCTAAGATATGACCGATTCGATTACCGAATTTAATATTTCGTATTTATTAAGCCGCATCGCCATTTTAAATTCATGTCTGATAATTGCGGGATTGTCGTTACACCATAATCCTGTATTCGTGGCGGTCTTTCTCGTCGTCGGAATGCTTTACTTTTAATTAAAATACAACGAAACACAAATCCGTTTAAAACGACATTAATTATTGTGGCTTCGGTCATTCCGCGCTGCTCCAGTTTTTGTTATACCTACACAATTTAAAGTGATGACGTCATAAAGGTATAACTTTAAATGGGGTGCAGTATTGAAAATAAAGGACATTGGATTTTTTTATTGCTTCAATGGATGGGTGTTTTCACAGTTCTAGCAGTAGGCAGCGGCTTGGCTCTGCTCCTGGCATTGCTGAAGTCCATGGGCGACGGTAACCACTTACCATCAGGTGGGCCGTACGCTCGTCTGCCTACAAAGGCAAAAAAAAAAAAGTTCATCTGGTGCCCATGGACATCAACAACGTAAATGCCCTAATTCACCTTGAGACATGAGTTCTAGGTCTAAGTCTTATAGCACAAAAGCTGCCCCGTTCTTCAAACCGAAACGGATTGGTGCTTCGCGGCAGAAATGGACAGTGTTAGGCAGTGGTGGTGCCTACTTGTGGGTTGCAAAAGACGCCATACCACCAGTACTAACGCCACTTATAATTTTTGCTTGCTTAAAAACGGAGAATACAGTACTACTAGCTGGCCCGGCAAACGTTGTTTTGCTACATAAATTATTTCTAGGAAAGATAAATAACCTAGATACCGACTGCAGCGCCATCTGCCGGGCTGATTTGTAAATCTAAGCCACCTAAAGCTATACAGAAAATTTCATTAAAATCGATCCAGCCGCTTAGGAGTTCAGTGATAAACACACGCACAGAAGAAATATAATATTTATATAAAGATTAAGTTAATAAGATAAGCAATTTTCATTAACTTCTGCGTTACAAGCCACGGGAACCTAACTTTTTTATTTTGCTACGAACCCTCCTCTCCGTAACACTGCTCTGCTCAAAAACCCTGTTTCTACAAGACCGCGCTATTTAAATTTAAAAATTAAAAAGCTAAGAAATTTCGTCTCATTATAACTAAAAAAAAAGTATGTTACGTTTATGAATTGCTTTGTTATTATTCCACTTACGCATATTGTGTTTTAAGTCCTATATATATATAACGTTGCCTAGCAACAAATAACGCTTAGCACTAAATTATATAGTAGTCGGCTGATAAAGCTGACTGTCCCGAGCTTGATTTCCTATGAAACCTGCTGTCACAGAGCGACCATCGTGTTTCCTTAAATAACATCACTATGGTAGTTTTCCGATTACAGAGCATAATGCGACTCAGTGACGCACAATGCCGAATTATGCTGAAGCTTAATTGGAACGTGAATTAGTTTTCAAATGCATCAGCGGAGTGCGCTAAGTTAGCACAGTTTTAATTAACATTGATTATTTCTAAGAAACTACGACGAAACGAAAGCCTTACAATTTTTTCAACATTAAATAATATTACTGACGATAATATAAACAAAATTTCGATCAATGCCAACTTAAAGAAAAAACACTTGTCAATTTTCTGTCACTGAGTCGGTATCGATTGCGAGTATCACGCGAGAGCAGTACTTTTGAGAGTGCTCGATTGTGCGAAGCGTTGCTGTAGTTGGAACATTCAACGTTGAGCATTATGCCGCATAATGCGCTCTTGTGCTGTCATNATAATATAAACAAAATTTCGATCAATGCCAACTTAAAGAAAAAACACTTGTCAATTTTCTGTCACTGAGTCGGTATCGATTGCGAGTATCACGCGAGAGCAGTACTTTTGAGAGTGCTCGATTGTGCGAAGCGTTGCTGTAGTTGGAACATTCAACGTTGAGCATTATGCCGCATAATGCGCTCTTGTGCT